CCCCCCGCCGGCCACCCCAAGGCCGTCCCACTACACGAGGGGAAGGCGGCTGCAGCCAGCGGGCTCGGACTTGGATTCCAGCTTCCCGAACGTTTGGCAGCAGGGTCGCCTGTGGGGCTCGGGGCTCGCTGGCCCCCTGCTTTGCAGGCGGCTGGTTGCAGCCAGACTCTGCCCCTCATCTCTGGGCCTTCCCTCCCGCCCTGTCTCCTGTCCTGGGACCATTCGTCCGAGGCTCCACTCCCAGGCAAAACACTGAGATCCCTTCCCCAAATTTTTAAATTAAATTTAATTAATTTACTAAGAATGTAAAGTAAAAAAGTATCGCATGTGAAATGAAATACGAAGCATTATCTCAGCTGTGTAAAGAGAAAATGTGTGTGCGCGCGCGCACAGTGGAGCGACTGTGAGGGCCTGCCCCATGTTGTCCCTGGAAGTTTCTGGGTGGTGGAATCTGGGTCGTTTTTACCTTTTTTTTTTTACCCCAGCCTTTCCCTACTTTCAAGTTTCTTCAATGGGCATGTATTTTTACCCCCTAAAATCAGGAAAAGCAATACACATTTTTTAAAAAGAAAAATATTCCTTCCCATTCTACCAGAAACCAACTTTCTCCTTCGTTGGGAAACCACTCTTGTGTTCACAGAGCAAGTCGCAGGAACAGCTTCTGCCAGGCCTATGGAGGAGAAGACACACTGGGCTGGACTGGAGGAGGGACAGCCCGGGAGAGACAGGGCTTGCATCAGGTACCAAAGAAGGCCAGAGGGCAGTTCTCCCTCCCAAAAAACAGACGCAACACAGTGTATGATCGCAAGAATCCAAACTGCTTAGTAACCCACCCACCAGGCTTTGCGTTGCTCCATTTGCTTCATTTTCCACTTCCTCAGGAATCTCTCTCACAACACACAAACCTAGAGAAGACCAGCCTTGAGAACATTCCGGGATGTGGCCAGACTTCGGATGTCTTGACAAGGAAAGCTGGATTAAGAGTTATAAATCTAAAGGGGAATGTGCTCTTGGGGGATAGATAAGAGAGAGAGAAGCCCTACAAGACGGCCTTGATGAGGCAGCAGGAGGGGGGGGCTGAGGGCAAAGTACCAGCCGCCCCCCCCCCCCCCTTAACACCCCCCCTTGGGAGACTCAAAACAAAAAAAAGAAAGGAAAGAACAAAAAAAAAAAAAAAAAGGTTAAAATGATAAGAGTCTCCACCCTTTTATAAGAAAAAGGCAATCTCATCAATAGCCTGAAGTCCAGGAACTCCCTACTGTCTTAATGTTAATGCTTTGCCAGAGGGAAAAACCACTTTAGCTAGGTCTCCAGAAATAGCTAGGCCGCCAGCAATGTGAGTCTTTAGCACGTGAAAATCCCTTTAAAAAACTTCCTCTTGACTTCACTTCCCCCAGCCCCATAATATATAAGGAGTCATTCTTCACAGCCCCAGTGCAGCTCTTTCTGACCCCGGGTCCTGTCCCCAGCTTTAATAAAATCAATCACCTTTTTGCACTAAAGGCGTCTTCAAAAATTCTTTCTTGGCCAGCAACTCTGAACCCCACTACCACCCCAAAACTTCATCAGGCCTCACCCTGAGAACGTCCTGGAATGGGTGTGAAATCTTAGCAGCTCTCCACCAAAAAACCCCAGCGCCCAAAGCTCAGAGAGCAAGGTCCTCAGACGCAGTGCTAGAGAAGGTGTCCGGGGCAAGCAGCTTAGCTGTGCTCCCTGACAGACCTACAGACCTACCTTACACTTGGCTACCCTTCCCCCGCCAAAAAGCCCCAAGAGAAAGAACATCATATTCATAAACCCTCCTGTCTTTACAGCAGGATGAGGCCAATACGGTATGCATGGCATGGCAGAAGCCGACGACAGACTGCTTCGCATTCTGTGGACACATTGCCCAGGGTTTTAAGGCAGAGTGTAGATATTCCCGAAACTGCATAGGTCAGTAGCTTCAGGCTCTGTGAAATTACTCTTTGGAGTGACCCACCAAGGGTCTTTTCACAGGCCTTTTTTTTTTTTTTTTTTTAACGTTTATTTATTATTAAGAGACAGAGAGAGACCATGAGCAGGGAGAGAGGGAGACACAGAATCCAAAGCCGGCTCCAGGCTCCAAGCTGTCAGCACAGAGCCCGACAAGGGGCTTGAACCCACAAACCGAGAGATCATGACCTGAGCTGACGAAGGACGCTTAACTGACTGAGCCACCCAGGCGTCCCTCTTCACAACCCTTTAAAATCCCATTATCTCCCGAAGGCAATTTCAAATGCCTATACCCTTCCTTTTGCAGCAGTCAGCATTGGGCGTGTGTGGCGCGTGAGACACACACACACACACACGCACAATAAATACATTATATATATACATATACACACACACAAATAGATATATACATATATATGTACACAAATACATATACATATATATACAAATAATAGAATATATACACACATATGTTAAATATAATATATACATATATAACAAATAGAATGGACAATCACATAATAAATAAGAATATATACATATATAATTAAATGTGTATAAACACAAACATATATACAGAGAGCAACTTCGAAGTTAATTTTGGAAATATTTAATTTTTCTCCTGGAATGTACCATTTACCATTTACATGAAGCAACAAATAAGTACTTTTCAGTTTAGAGAGAACCTTGGCTTCGGATGTCTGTTTCCAGACACTAAGAGAGAGCTCTCACCATTCACAGCCCGGAAAGGCAATTTCATTGTTAACCTTTAGGAGGTTAACCCACCGCTTGAGTTCGGTTGGCTCCTTTGATTTACAAAGTGTCCTTATGTACTTATTTTTTTTGATACACAATTAAAAGAAAAAAGATTTCATAAATTTAAAAGAATTCATTCCTGATGGTCTTTTTAAGCACCCCAAATAAAACTATATTTGGTTTTTGTTTTCATCAGTCATAGACGTACATAGTTTCAAGTGTCAGAGACTTAGTATGGAAAATGACAGGCCCTGATTCACACCCCACCACAGTGTTCTATTACCCATCTTTTTAATTTCTTTTGCTATGTATTTCCAAGTTTGTAAACACACTTGTATTCCTACTTCCTGTCTCTTCACATTTACGCATTAATAAACTTCCCACTGTGGAAGGTGAAAATGTAGTCCTCTCACTGACACACTCCACATGCCTCTCTCTCTCTCTCTCTCTCTCTCTCTCTCTCTCTCTCACACACACACAGTATAGTTACCTGCCATTTAACTAGATCAATATCTAATTTTACATCAATGTGACCAAGTAAACACTATCCACAGCTGGATCATGTGGTATACTGTGTTTGTTCTTCATGTATAACTTTTTGTTTTTACTGGAGTTAAAAATTGCTTTTTTGTTTAGTTTTCTCTGCATTTATCACTAACACATCCCTAAAATCTCCTCCAGTTATCTAGATCTCCTCTCAGTACTTCCAAACTTTCAGGTGTTTCACCTTCTTGGGGCTATCTTTCCAGAGCTTCTGTCCAGCTCCCATGCGAACTGGGAGCATGGCTGTCTTCCTGGGCCCTCCTTTCTCCTACTGCGAAATCACATCTCCCCGTCTGTTGGTTTACTTCTCCCTTTTTCTTCCTGAGAAGGGTTGTGGAAGATAGTTTTCAAGACTTTGCATGTCTGTAGTCTGCATTCACTCTTCCTTGAGATTGGATGGGCACACAATTGAGGTAGGAAATAATTTTCATTCAGAAGTGTGCAGGTCTACTTTCTAGAGTTCCTGTCGAGAAGTCTGATGTCAAACTGATTGTTGACCCTTTGAAGTGTATTTTGGTCTTTCTGCTTATAAGGCCTTGCCCCAGCACTCTGCAATTTCATGCACTGCTATGGGGCATCTTCGTTGTTATGCTGACCACCTGACATGCTCTTTCAATCTGGAGATGCAATCTTTAGATTCTGGAAAATGTTCTTGAATTATTCACTTCTTTCCTCATGCTGGCATATTTTACTAAGACATTGGGCCTCCTGAACCTACTCCCTGATTTTCTTATTGTGTCTTATTTTGCATCTCTCTCTTTTTCTCAACATTCTGGAAAATGGTCTCAATGTTATCTTTTATTCTTTCTTTGAAATTTTTATTTCTGTCATCACATTAAAAAATTATCTTTTAACATTTAAGATTTATTTATTTTTGAGAGACAGAGAGAGACAGAGCATGAGCAGGGGTGGAGCAGAGAGAGAGAGAGACAGAGTCTGAAGCAGGCTCCAGGCTCTGAGCTGTCAGCACAGAGCGTGATGCGGAGCTCACTCACAGAACCACGAGATCATGACATGAGCTGAAGTCAGACGCTTACCTGACTGAGCTACCCAGGCACCCCTGCCATCATATTTTAAATTTCCAGGATCTTTATTGTTTTTGGATTGCTCCCTTTTGAGTTTCTGCTTTTGGCCATGGCTGCACGGCTCCTCCTGGGACAGTACTCCTGCAGACAACTCTCAGGGATGGACAAAATATAAAAACCAGTGACCCCAAAACATTGGAGAGTGACTCCAAGGGAGTCTTCACAAGGGAGGGACTCTTCACCACTTTCTCCACTTTGACGTCAGACCTGGCAGTGATCACATTCCCACGG